TTAGTTTAATTATTTTTTTATGTATGATTTTTCTTAATTTATCTTTGCTTAATTAAAGTTTACTTATTTTAATTTTTTTATACTTTACTCTTACAAGTTTTTGTTAATGTTATTATATTTTTTTAGAATATTTTTTTTAAGTTGTTTTATTTTTAAACTTCTTTTCCACTCCGCTACCTATCTGCACTCATATACTTTTATTGCTAATAGCCAAGGCACTTTTTCGACGCACTTCTATTTCAAATAAGCAAAAAATATCAATAAACCACAGGAAAATATTTGTCTCTTACTTTCCCTCAACAAAAAAAAATATAAAATTAATTTCCACTGCAAACTTAACACCACTTCACTGCGGATTTCCACTTTGACTGCAGTTTTTGCACAACTCGCCGTTGCAGCAACACTGACAGGCATTCGCCGCGCTCGACAAGGCTAAGCTGACTGCCAGCGCTACAATTGTACTCACAGGAATGTCCTTCGGGGCTGTACGCGCCTCCAGCGCAGCGTGTAGCAACAAAAGTCACGCCTTTCACGTTGCTGCCGAAAATCTAAGCGGTCAGCGAGTGTGTGCAGCGTGTGAAATCAATGCCAACTTTTAGGCGCGTTAAATGCGCTCGCCGCGCAATGCCCGAAGACAGCCTGACAAACGAGTGAAGTTACGAGCACGTGGCGTAAATAAGTAATACCAAAGAGTGAATGAGCATCGTATCTTAGAGAAAGTGAGTGAACGTCAGGGAAGGAGCTTGGAAAGCATAGCAAACGAGAGAGTACCAGCGTGAGTTAGTCAGAGCGCGTACTGCCAGCACTCAAACACTCTCCTAAGCAAGCATAATTTCTTAATTTTCATACACATTTTGCTCAAAAACACATACAAATGCATGAAAAACGAGTATGCCACCGTGTAGACGTCACGGCGTATGTGCAACTTTTGGTTTGTTTACCGCGCACCATCAGCTGTTTCGAAGCTTTTGCCTCACACCGGCTAGCATTTTTCACAGCTTTCCTTTATTTACACCGCTCACTTGCGCATTTATGCTCACTTGTCTTGCGCTCATTTTGGCAGCGCTCTTGCTTTGCCGTGTTTTGACGGCGAAAACTGCATTTTTTCGTTGCCACAATTTTCTTTTACTTAGCTTCTTGCTCACGGCGTGTGGGTGCTCTTTTTTAAAACTTTTATTATCTGGTCTTTCGTTCCGCTAGTTGACATCAGCATTTTCTTCGTTTTGTTTACATTGTCGATTTCGAAAGCCGGAAGCAACAAATGCGCATGTGTTTTGTTTGTAGCTTTGTACGTTTGTCGCTGTTAATTTGGTTAATTGCGGCAAATTCGGCTTAATTCGCTGCACTGAATATGAAATTTACCTTATACATGCAGACATACGTATGTATATACATTGATGAACGAGTACATAGCCCAAATGTTGATGAATATCTCGGTTTCCGTGAAACCCGTGAGTGCTATACTGTACAAACTTACTTATGTCCCAAACACACTGTTTTTTATACTCTTGCAACATGTTGTACGTATCACCTAAACTAAGCGAGATACATATAGCGCTATATATATACATATATAACTAATCAGGACAACGAGAAAATCGCGATTAAGTGAAAATCTATATGGTGACATAAGTAAACACTAAATTATGATATAAACCTATAATTTAACCTCCGTGATTGTATGGAAGACAGTTATGGGAACCGGTCTGAAAATTAAACGGCAGCTAGTTACTGCCCACTTTTTGGTGAAACCACATATCTCAAGATTCGACATACCGATTCCGATAAAATTTATTTCTATATCGGAGTACTAAAATGGCTGAAATCGGAATACAATCATGCTTACTTCTCATATAGAACAATTTTAAATTCCTTTGATTGATTCACTTTCCAGTACACATATCAAGAAGTAATATAACTAGTTCCCTCAGAAATTGCGAGGGACTGGTTGGCACATCGTCGTGAATTACCGCAACTATCAGCACTAAAACTAAGCCGCTGGTTAGGAACTAGCAAAACTTCTGACTCTCAGTATCACATTTTTACCGACGCATCAGAAGTCGTATACGCAGCCGCACTTTACTGTCGCACACAATTTCCGGACGGTACGATCAAAGTCGTACTAGTAGCAGCGAAAACAAGAGTAGCGCCTCTGAAAACTATTTCTTTACCACGACTGGAGCTTTGTGCAGCTCATTTGGGAGCAAAGTTAGTGAAGCAGGTTCAATCAAATCTGATCACCGCTTATTTATTACGCTTCATCAATAACAYAAGGGCTAACGCCGTTGTACGACAATTCGGCAGCTTGTCTTGCGCTGAAATTCAAAACGCTGAAATAGCATTGGTAAAGTATACTCAATTTATTGTTTTTAAAAAGGAAATTTCTAATTGCAGAGAAAATAAGCCGATACATACACGAAGCAGTCTAGCAAGACTAAAACCTTTTCTAGACGCAAATGGTATCCTACGAGTAGGAAGAGGCATCAAAAACGCACCGCTTTCGGATTATGTTAAACATCCTATAATAGTGCCGAAAAAATCRCCGCTGGCTAAAATAATCGCAGCAGAAGTACATCTTTTAACATTACATGGTGGACCTCAGATAATACAAGCCGCGCTGCAACGAAGATTTTGGGTGCCAGGCATTCGTAACCTTGTCCGTGGTATATATCGAAAATGYATTCGCTGTAGACGACTGAGTTGTCAACCACTACAACAAATCATGGCTGATCTGCCTCCAAGTCGCATCACTTCAACCAGATGTTTCTTACATAGTGCAGTAGATTACGCTGGCCCTTACGCCGTGAAATTTACGCATGGAAGAGGTGCAAAATCTACAAAGGCAATGCATCTCGAACTTACTGGAGACCTTTCGTCAATTGCTTTCATAGTTGCTTTCAAACGTTTTACTAACCGCAGAGGATACTGTCAGCACATTTACTCTGACAACGGCACTAACTTCGTAGGTGCTGAAAAGGAATTACGATTAGCCTATGAACGCTGCATTCGCGATGAAAGAGTGTCATCATATTTCGCAAACGCCCAAATATTTTGGCATTTCAATCCTCCAAACGCCCCTCACATGGGTGGCTTCTGGGAGGCGGGTATAATACGTATCAAATATCATCTTAAGCGGGTCTTAGATACTTCGCTTCTAACTTAGGAAGAACATTTTCGGAAATTTGCATGAGAAAGAATGAACTCGGTATAAACTGAAAATTTGAAGCGACGCGACTTGAAACATAACTTGAAGTACTATAGATGCTGCATTCAGCTCTATCTGTGTTATGTTTCATTGATACATTCTCCTCGGTTTCATCCTCAAAACATAGAAAAATTAGTGACTGGAAAAATAAGGAAGCAAGCGGTAAAAGCAACGATACTCACCGCAGCAGTATGCAAATTTCATTTTATAATTGAAATTTTTGCCTATGCAATATTCTATCTCTAAGTCATTCACTCAGCGTGATTTTCAGAAAGATTCGATCGATCTGGCGAAGGCAGCTTGCAACGTTCGGAAATCAAAGGCAAAAAGC